AAATGTATTAACAAGTTTTTTCATCTCATAAAATGAGTTTGGAAGTGTATTATTCTCTGGCAGCATGTCTCGAACAAGATTTATAAGTTCATCGAAACCATTGTCTGATAAGTCATGTGAAGCTTTATGCTTAAACATAGAAACCGAAGCTGACATCTTTGTAATTGCCTTGCAACCATGATATAAAGGAGTTTCAGCATCATTAACTAAACTTTCAATCTCTTTGTCTCTTTCATCATGATGGTTTTCAGGATCTACATCATGTTGTGCATAAAAATCCTTAAACATCCTACTCGACTCAGGCATTTCTACGTCGTCCAAATTTGATTCAGTTGGTTGCTCTCCAAGAAATACCCAAACAGTATATGTAGGATCCATACCTTTAATAACCAGATGTTCATGGACTGTATCATAATGATGATACATTAGATTCCTACAATTAATGCAAGGGTATGCTATCATTTCTGAATTGCAATAGTCACGAGCTCGTTCAACAAAATTCTGTGCTCCATCTCGATATTGTTCTGAAAATCTACAAATTATACTTTATGATCATTATACGTTAATTTCTTTATTGGACAACTAGGTTTATAAGATAAGTTTCAGATGATAATCTTGATAAGTGCAGCCACTCTTTGTCCATTATAGGTTGTGGCAGACCTTAGAGTGATAAACACTTTGAATTCCCGCTGCTCTAAATTTATGAGATATATCCATTATAGGTTGTCCAACATCTATAGCTAAGCCAACATTTCTAATGTTATAAACCAGCCAAACCACATTAGCACATCACAAAATTTTTAATACTTGGTCCTAAGAGTCTACACTTTATCCACTTCTAGAAGTTGCATATCTTCTCTCCCTTACAGGTTAAGTGTTCATTATTTTCCTTTACCTAGTTTTCTTTGTTGAGGTGGAGTACAATACCCTTTCCATTTAAAATCTACGAGACTTATCTTTGTTGAGGTGGAGTACTATACCCTTTCCATTTAAAATCTTCGAGACTAATCTACAGGTAAAGCATATAGAAGATTTTTCCACTACGTGATATGGTTGCTGGAGTCTATTTACTTCACTTATAACACATGAAAAAAAATCACACGTTGACAATGAAGAAGAATTCTGCATTACATTTTAGAAATAACTTTTTCTACATCAACAACCACAATCGATGAAGTCACAAATTTATTATCCCCAACTCCAAGAGGTAAGAACCAATCAATTTGAAAAACAAAATAAACAAGATCTTGTAAGAGAAAATGAACTTAAATTAAAATATTCTTACTGAAGAAACTATGGTTTTGCAAAAAATGATACTTGCTCCTCTTCATCTCAAGGGCTCCATGATGCAAGGTTAAAAGTTTATTCAAGACTCGACAGATTTATAATATACTGAAACAAGGACAATGGGAACTAAACAAGTTTCAACACCAAAAAGCTTGATCACCTTTGTGCAAGAGGAATACTTTTGATGAATTCCATAAGTTGGAACAATTCTATATTTCATCTACATCAATCTCAGCATACCATAGCTGTCCAAATATCCTACATCAAACACAAACTAACACGATGAGAATCATAACATTAAGATAGTAATCCATGTGAAATCTTTAATCTATCTACTGCCTATTATTGCCTTCCAAAATAATCGGAATAGTATTCACCAATTGTTTTAAGTTGGCCCAATCAAGGTGACATTCAGCATATCCTCAGGGTTTTTTTCATGGACCATACAGAATCACCAGGTTGAAATATTGAGAATTGAGAAGTCTCATGGATTAATTAGCTGATGGCTCAACTGTGGGTAGATTATCTTACCTTGTTCTAGATATTGAAAGCGGTCAGCTGTCTATTGAAGATTGCCGGAAGACAAGGACTTGGGTTCCAGCCTTCTAGGAGTTGGGAAGAGGCCAAGAATCGGCCACCAAACAGACAAAATCAAATGGAATACCCTAACAAAGCAATTGTGAAATTTGAAAATGCATTCTTAGGTTCTAGAATTTCATCTATAGTTGGGGGTTTAGATTCAAATCGGCTTCAAATTTCAACTATAGTTGACGTACCTCAAGGGAGAAGGCTGAAGCACAGAGTCACAGTAAGATTTCCAAATTTCCTTCATATCGATCGACTTTCTACGCAGTCAGCAGATGGAATAGCTACTCCTTCCTTCCTTCCACGCCGCTATTTAATCAGGTGCATTCGGCGATGTCGGTTGACGGTCGGTGGCGATGGTTGGCGGTCGTCTCTGCAGTTGGATGTAATCGTGAAGCTCGATTTGGGGCTGTTGCAATTGGATTTTAGGTTTAAGGATGAAAGAAAATGAAATGGTGAAACCGTGAAGATCGATTTGGGGCTGTTGCAATTGGATTTTAGGTTTAAGGATGAAAGAAAATGAAATGGTGAAATCGTGATGATCGATTTGGGGCTGTTTCAATTGGAATTCTAGATCGATTTGGGCCTGTTTAATTGGGCCGAAAACTAAATAAATAAATGGGCCAAAGATTTATTCTACAAATGTTTCCTTTAGCAACGTTTAATAAACGATGCAAAAGATAAAATTTTTGCAGCGTTTAATAAACGTTGCGAAATGCAACATTTAGCAACGTTTATTAAACGCTGCAAAAAGTTTATCTTTTGCAACGTTTATTAAACGCTGCAAAAAGAATATCTTTTTGCAGCATTTAATAAACGTTGCAAAAGGCACTTTTTCCAACACTTACTTAAAAAATGTTGCTAAAGCTCAATTTTACTAATCAATTGCAACATTCATTTATTCAAATGTTGCGATAGATCCCTTTAGCAACATTTAACTACTGAATGTTGCCTTTTATGTGTTGTGAAAGCTCATTTTTGGCATAGTGATTCTGCAACAGTAAAGAAGAAGAAGAAGAAGAAGAAGACTCAAACCCAAACTAAGGAAATTGACAAGTCTCAATTGGACTAAAGACGACGATGAATCGTTAAGTAAAGCATGGTTACAAATATCAAAAATCAAGGCAAAGGTAATGGGATTGAATCATCATCCCGCTCATCTTCAATGATCACGTTGTGTAATATGATGCACACTTCCATTATAATACGAAGATAATCTTTTTCTCCAATAATGCAGATGTCCTTTCGTTATTCCCCACCTTATTCGCAGAACGCCAAATGCTCGTTCAACATCCTTCCTGATAGCCTCTAGTTTTCTAGCAAACTTCTCTTTTTCAGTAGTTGGGTACATAATAGTTTGCATCGAAGTAGATAATATCCCATGTCTATTCACCTCATAATCAACATGAGGCATATTACCATGGATAATAGTGTCAAATACTAGAGAATGATCCAAAATATTCAAGTCCATGTGTGAACCTTGTAAATGCATGCCATATCCATAAAGCTTTTGATACAACTGCTTCTAATATGGGGTAGGCTTATGATGATTATCCTTGTGCGTGCCATGTCATGCAATGAGAAATGCATACAATTTATTGATCCAAGCATACTTGGGAACCCTCTCTGCTTTCCTTCTTGAAGCAAACATGCAATCTCTTGTTCGATCGGTGAGCGTATATAATGCTCTTCGTATAATGTAATTATTAATCTCCCAGAATCGCTTCACACTATTTTTTCTCCATTTTTACATATTCGTTACATTGATATGCTGATGCTTCATAAGCGAGTATACATATTTCCACAGTGATCTTTTGTATCAAAGATCCAAAATGACTTGTGCAATCTTTCGTACCTTTTAAAGTGCAAAGGAACAACACTTTTCGCATCTGGTTTCATCCGTCTACAAAAATAATCATCAGGATAAGTACAATTATCTTTGAAATAATCTCTCCACACTTTTTTGGTGACTTCAAAGCATCGTTGCACATTTGATTGTGAGAGAACCGTTAGCACATGTGGTAAAAGATTCATTCATAACCCTTTGAACTTGCTTCCAATGACATCGGAAAATTGCATATTGATTTTCATCAGATGAGCTTGATGAAGTCAATGGTGTGGAACTATGCTCAAACGTAGGAATGGATTGCGACGATGAATCAATTACTTTCTAGAAAAGAATTAAGATGGAGATGAAGCAAGAAATCATTGTTGACGATCGTTGATGCACAGAAGAATGGTTTATATAGCCCTTGATTCCCATTATTTTCAAAATATTCCATTTGATTGCAAATGTGGAAAATGGATGGAAATAAAATAAATTCTAGGGAATTGAATTCCCTAAAAATTGTTTAATTGGGAATTGTAATTAATTGCAGGGGCGGACACAGACTTTTTATGTTGGGGGGGCACAATCAAACTATCACAAAGTATCGAAAAATATTAAAGTAAGAGATGTTTTATTGCAATTGTTCTCTATGTTGGGGACGCAGAATTCGGTTGGTTCTTCATGAATTAGTTATGTGTGGCCAAAACTACCTGTCCATAAGACAATATTGACGTGTTGTAACATGCTAATGCATCCTTAACTAAACCGGCACCAACTAATTGATACACATCCTCCTAAAATCACATAACCACATATTTATAAATCAAATTAGATCCTTATGTTTTTTATTCAATGAAATAGCCTTAAATTCATTAATATGCTCTCTTGAGGATCTTTGTGTTAACAAAAATGACTGTAAGTTAAAGTATTCATTGCAACAGAATATACAAAACTATGGGGAATTTCAGAAATAAGTCCAAATTTGAGATGATTTTGAGCCTAAAATTGAATCAAATGTGTAGGTTCTATCACCAACTGATACTGAATCCTTAGAAACTTTCTAACCATTCCATCTCCACTTCCAGGGCCATTAAATGGCCTGATCCTCAATACAACCTACACATACACCCAGAATCATATACACTTGAAATTAACACAACCTAAACAAATAGCAAAAAAGTTAAAATTTAACAATATTCACCATCTGAAAATATAAAACAAATTAGAATTAGTTAAATTTGCATACCAAAATTATCAAAACAACTCCAAGCACAAAACCTATCCCATCCAGTATTACTAGATTAACAAATATAATATTCAATAACATTAACTACAGGATTTGTAAAATTATAGTAATTTTATAATACCTTGACTGGTGGATCAGGATCTGCAGGTAATTTTTCCTGGGCAATAGATGAGGTTAATTCTTCCGTATAGCTATTGATTTTGGGTTTAGTTTTTGTATTTTTTGGGAATGAAATTAAGGCCGATAAAGGGGGGTCACTAATCTGGATGTTGGAGAGACTAAGACGGCTTGGATTGACCGGTGACCGGAGTAGAGGCTAGAACAATTTTGGAGAGACTGAGAGTCAAGAGAGGCGGAGGGTATTGGAGCTACAGGAGAAATGAAGAAGTTAGGGACTAGAGCTTATGAATTTCTTTATTTTCATTTCGTTTAAAAAAAAAAATCCCAAAATCCTGGGGAGGCATTTGCCCCCCCCCCCCCAGGCCACCCCTAGGTCCGTCAGTGATTAATTGTATTTGATTAGTATAATTTTCCACCTGAAAAGTGTTGAAAGTTTTGTGTCCGTTTGATTTTCTTTTTCATGAAATTTGTCCATTACAATGATAATTTACATTACAATTGGGTCTAGAATTTGTTTCACTTACCAAAAAATTTTTAAAAAATTAATTTTTTTTTAAAAATTATTATACTGAATACTATTCGTTTGGCATTGTTTTGTATGAAAAATGTGGAAAAAATTTTTAAATGAAAAATAAAGTGTATCAAATAAAACAAAAGTGGAAGTTGGAATTTATTTTCCATTTTCCATAGAAAATAATGCCTTATCAAATAGGGCATTATCTTTTCTTTTCAATTACATGTTTTTTAATAAAATAATATTATACAAAAATTCAAAACTTTTTTAAGCACACATTATTCATCAATCTATTCATTCAAAAAACATTCTTAGGAAAAAATGGAGCTCAAACAGGGGCATGAAGTATTCATTAAATTGAAATTTAAATCTTAAAAAAATATTACCGTTGAATATAAAATACGTTGGTTGAATTAGGGCTGTAAGCAAAAATCACTAAATCAAAAAATCGAATCGAAACCGCAATTTCGAAATCGGCAGTTTGGTGCCACGTGGACCCGTCAACGAAATTGTTTTGAATCAAACCAAACCGGTTAAAAAGGTTTGGTTAGGTTTGAGAATTTTAATTACGGTTTAAAACCAAACTGGACCTGTGAAAAAATATATAAAATAAAAATTAAAAAATTGAATTTTTTTTGAAAATTTATCCAAAATTCCAATTTTGTAAATTCAATAATTTTGTAATTTTGTTGGTATTTTTTCAATTTCTAATTTCCTATTAGTTATTACGATTTTGGACCCGCCCAAATTCCAACCCGACCAACTATCCTAATTTAAAAAAAAAAGGAATTCAAACTCTCACAAACACAACCCTAATCTCTAACCTTCCATTTCTCTCTCTCGTTCGCTATTCTCTTTCTCGCTCCTGAATTTTCTTCAAGTAGTCGGTAGTCTACGGTCAGAATTTTCAGTTGCCAGCAACGGTCGCCTGTAGTCTACGGTCAGTTACAACTGATAGCCTTCAATTTCGTTACTAGGCTGCGTGATTTTTTGTGACTTGTGTGTTAGTTCTGTGATTTTTTTTTTTTTGTGATTTTAGTTACATAGCTGTGTGTTCTTGATTCTTGAACAGGAAACCGTCTAAATTATTACTAAACATAGTTTGTCATCTTGATTCTTGAGAATCCCTAAATTCGTGATTTTTTGTGATCCGTGGATTATTTATATTTTCGAAGTTCTTTCAGAACAACAACACATTTTTCCTCGCATACCTCGAATTCGACGTGTTTTCTCTGCACGTCGCGCATAGGCGGCGCATTTGCGAACATTTTAGAACATGGGGAATTATATGATTGTGATTTTAGTTTATTGTGATTTTACTCTGATTTTGTTCATATTTAAATTTATAGTATATATATTTAGTTTATTTTAGATTTATTGCCAGTAAGATATAAATATATATTGAATTAATGATATAAAAGTAGACACTAGATATGTAAAAAAATATAAGCGAAATCGCCGATTTAAAATTGGACCAAACCGTTAGGTTTAGGTTTGAGTATTTTTTCAAACCGGTCAAAACGGTTTGATTTAGGTTTGAGTTTTTCTCAAACCGATTGAAACAGTTTGGTTTGAAAATTTGTCAAAAATTGATAAAATCGGACTGTTTACACTCCTAGGTTGAATGTAAAATAGATTCATTGAACTCATCACATCACAATATATAAATGTTGAATATTAAATTTATCTACTGAACTTATTAAAAAATAAAATATATGAAAAAAGAAATACACACACGTCGGTTTGCTGAACAAAAGGATGAGTTGCTAACTTCGAATAGTCCAATATGACAGCCAAACACTAGCTAAACTTAACATGTGAATGTACTCCCTCCGACCTGTAAAAATATATTTGCTTTTCTTTTTCGTCTATCCCAATTTATAGACCACTTTTCTTGTTGAGAGTAGAGCTGATTTTTTAGTTTTTTAATAGTCATATTTAATATGTCTTAACGTAGGAGTATATTATATTAGGAAAAATGTAAGAAAATTTTATATTTTCAACTATATTAATTATATTTTTTAATTTGTGTAAAAATAGAAACAAGTATATCCTTTTGGGACGAAGGAGGTATTAATTAACAGTCACTTTATTATATAGTCGTAATGTTTGGCTAACTATAGTTATGGGGATGGTCTTAGGGGTACAAGAACGCGCCTTTAGTCGACTTATGCTTCCAATTAATACATAATTTTGGAAATTTTCGTCCATATGTATGAAAGAAAATTACAATGTTACCAAGAAAACAACCAAAAATAGTCATGCCAATTGATTGAAATAAATGACTCTAAAATAACAAAGAATTAAAATCACAAAATGGCAACCCATCACTAATAGTATTTGGTCAGAAAATTGGTACAAAAGATTTATTACAGTGAACAACCCAGGAGCCGCAGAATAAATGAAGAAAACTGTCTTTAACTTTTGAATTCCCACGATGTTTCAATTTTCACATGGTACAACATTAAATCGATACAGCAAAAATACAGCTATTCCTATATTTCTCCAACTGCAACACTGATCAGGCATGTGAGCAATTAATTAGACCAACCATATACATTACTATCTATGAAAACACATTGTAATTTTTATTTTTTATTTTAAAAATGTTATATTTTATTCCGTGAATGACTTTTTTTTATCTTGTAAATTTGATTTAATTTTGAGATGTCGAGAAAGTAGTTTTTTCGATTATAACGTTTTCAAGAGTCTCTTTTATTTTTAAAGAACAACTTGTATATAACAGAGAGTGTCTTTAAATTTAAAGAGTTAATTTTTAAACAATTCGACAAACTCTTTATCTTGTACATAATTGATATATATTAGAAAGTATCTTTAAGTTGAAAGAGTTAATTTTTAAATAATCCAACAAACTCTTTATTTTATTTTTTTCAACATCATTTATTTTTCCGGCTCATTTTTCAATTAATATGTATATTTTTAGATGTCAATAGCTAAAATGTTCAAATATAATTTGAATGATTTAAGAAGTTGTGCATTGAAACTTGCAAATCAACGAAAATACAAATTGAGAGATGTTTGACTCTCCAAATGTAGA